CTTAAAGGCTTAGCGGATTAGCTGCTAAAAGGCTATTAAAGGCTTAGCGGCTTAGATAAAGGGGGGGGGGAAGCGAAAAAAAAATCTCAAGACTCGCAAGACATTTTCGTCTTGCGAAGCAAGCCCATAGGGAAATTCGTCCTGCGAAGCAACTCAAAAATGGAAAACCCTTTCGTCTAGCGGGTTTTCCGTCTTGCGAGGCATTCGTCTTGCGGGGCACCACTGTATTTCAATATTACAAATAAATCAGACCTTAGACTGTGTTAACAGCAAGTTCCATTCCTGATTCAACACTCATTGCTTAATATCAGTAATAGGCAACCGGTGGCCTGTGTGCAAAAACCACCACTAACTCACATCTTGTAACAAATCAAAAGGGACCTTTTAGCTTCTGCTAATCTCTTAACTACAGGCTTCAGAGAGCCAGGACTTTCTTTCTGAAGACTCTGTCTTCAACCCTGGAAAAGCGTTGCACTGGCTTTTAACCTCTCCCCAAGGCTAAAAGTGAAAGGAGGAGGAAAGGAAATGAGAAAGCTTTGCTGCTCTGCCCAAAACTGGCCCTCTAATTGCCAACTATTAGGCTTTTATACCCATCAATATGATTTTCTTAATATACAGCAGGAAGAAGAAGACTGTTACTGAAAAAAACAAAACGGAGCAAAGAAACCATTTCAAATGCTGTTTCCCAAGATAAGATTCCTCCCCGCTCCCTGGTCTCTTCCACCATTTCCAAGTATCATAAAATAAACCGTCTCCATTACTCCCCTGGTCAATAAACAGGTTAAACAAACAAGGAAATTCCTCAAGAGAAGCCACAGATTCAAGACTGCAAAGACCAGCCACGTATAGGCTATTCAGAGGGAAGGGTTGTTGTTTTTTCATTTTTGCTTACTGTGCTTATCTGTATCTTCATTGTCATCCAGAAGTTAACCTCTGACCTACAAGCCTGCCTCTCAAAAAAAGAGAAAGACTCGCAATGTTTATCCATTATGTAATGTCTGTGCTTCTGTGGAAATTTTACTGAAACAAATGGAGGAAGTTTGCCCGTCAAGCTAGTGGACAATAAATCCTGTGCTGTATAGACACAGGCCTGTCTGCCCTCACCTTAAAAACCAATACATACACGTTTGCCGGAAAATATTTTTTCAGGTGGTACATTAATAAAATTGATAGAAATATGTACTGCTCTTTTAAAGCATGCTACAAAGTAACAATGGATTGCATTCAACCAAGCTGTCATACCTGACTCATTGCAATCAATGGACATGATCAAATAAGGTCCATTGATTACAGCAGGTCTACTGTGAGTAGGATGACTTGGTTGGATAAAATCCAAACTACATTGCAAACGGTTTTCTTTTTGTAGAAGCCCACTTTCTAGAAGAGCTTGCATCTAGCAGCTTATACTGTTTCTACAACTGGAGAAAAATCTGAAGACTTCTGAATAGACCAAGTTGGGAAGTTCCATTATTTTCCAAGGGGAAATGCTTGGGGATTTCATCTGTGTTGCAATCTGTGTAAAAGTGTAAGGCTGGAGATGTCTACTGAAGAAGCTACCTTAAAGAGTCATGGCTTCACCCCAGAGAGTTCTGGGAGCTGCAGTTTGTTAAGGATGCTCAGAGTTCTTAGGTGTTATGTACTGAGTTGAATAGGATCCAAAATGCAGCAGTCTGATTGGTCCTAGAACAACAGGATTCAGAATGCAGCAGTCTGATTGGTCCTAGAACAATAGGTTTCAGAATGCAGCAGTATGATTGGTCCTCCAGGTGGAAGTGAATCCGCAACCTGATTGGCCTACAGGAGAATCCCGGAATTAGCCAATCACGTGGGGCCCATTGTGTAAATAATGTATATAAAGCAGACATTCTGGGGGAACTTCCATTCCTCCTCACCACTATGAGCTGAATAAAGAGTATGAAATCCACTCTCGACTCTGAGTATATTTCATTAGGAGACACCTATTTCCTTCACAAAACTACAATTCTCAGAGAGGTATAAAAATCAATCCCTCTTCAAAGGGAAATAATCTTTTTAATGTGAGTGTTATCTGGATCAGCACCAGGGTTGTGTAGTGAGGAGCACAGGCTAATGCAATTTCAGTTGTTGAGTCTTCCTATGTACCTGGGAGCAAAATCTTGATTTTAGCAAAAGTCTCCCATTAACCAACAACACAACCAGAATCATGCCCCAGGTCCCGCTTTTTCTTAATGGTGCTTTGCTTTTTGGCCTGGGTGGAAATAGGGCTGGGTGCTTAGGTCTTGCTATAATTAAGTTTTCTAAATCTCATTTCCTTTTCAGAGGAGAGAAAACATATTGTTGTGAGTAAGCTCCGGACGTGGTAACGAGTCCCTGGCAGGTTAGTTTGTTCTGACAGATGCATAACTTTTAAGGAAACTTTTTACCATCTTTTCTGCCCTTCATCGTGGTTTTTATTGCAATTACAGCAATGAGGCAGATGTTCGTGCCAAAGGTAACACACATACATTTTTTAATGAGTTGACACAAACTTCCTGGAGAGGAGGAATAAATTCATTTGCTGAATATTTCTGAGCCATACCTAACAGGTTATTAAAGGGCAAGAGGATATGGCCCTAACAAAGTTTGTTCCCATTTTCTTTCCCCGTACAAATTCACAGAGGTAAAGTGGAGTTAGAAGAGGCAAGATTGCCGACCAAGATACTGTCAGTTATTGCTAATCCGAAGCATATGCTATGGGCCACGCCACTTCCTAGATTACTTACCTATACAGGAAGGTCTAAGAGCTTGTTGCTATATAAAACTCTTTCCCTCTCAAAGTCTTAATGTTTGTGGGCATTTCCTTTGAACTCAGTCAACCACAATGATTCATTTCCAGCGAAGGCCACTCATTGAAATCAATGGGTACTTAATTTTATTTAAAGGCAGCTAGCAAAGTACAGCCAAATAAAACTAGTCACTCCGAATACTGGCTAATTACGTAAAGAGATTTCGAAAGCTGTCAAGAGAGGGGACCAAATCCCAAAATGGTGTAACGCAATTGGAGCCAAAGGAGCTCTTTTGCTGCATTGCAACAGCGAAGTTTCCAGTGCTTCGCCCAAATACCACAGCGTTCTCTCTCCTTGTGCCTGAAATCATTCCCTTAGCCAGAACAAAGCAATTTCTGAGTCCCAGGTTGCTTAAAATAAGGTCTGTCTCTGGCCTGTGAGTCCCACCTCAGGTATGGATGGAGAACTGTTGGCCCAAAATTGTCACGGAAGAACGTTCACCTGGCCATATAGGCTTTACCTTGTCCTTCCTACAAAATTAATCATTAACCTCTCATAGACTTTTTGCATGAAATACACACACACACACACACACACACACACACACACACACACGGTTTTGCTGGGTGTTATACTAGATTGGACAAAGTGAATATTGTCTTTATATAGCGGACAGATGAAGAACTGGGAGTTGTTTATTTTCTCAATCTTATTTTGCTATCTTTCTCTTTTAACCTATTTTTGACACTTTAAAAAAAGTTCTTTCACCCCCCCTCCATTTCTTTCTCCCTTCCCTCCCTTTTTGTATTTTTACAGTGGTACCTTGGTTCTCAAACTTAATCCATTCCGGAAGTCCGTTTCAAAACCAAAGCATTCCAAAACCAAGCTATGCTTTCCCATAGAAAATAATGCAAAATGGATTAATCCATTCCAGAACTTTAAAAACAACCCCTAAAACAGCAATTGAACATGAATTTTACTATCTAACGAGACCATTGATCCATAAAATGAAAGCAGTAAACAATGTACTGCAGTCACAGAATCAATCAATCAGTAGCTGAACTGGGTTCCACATAGTCACAAAAACAAAAGAAAAAAGCCGCAAAAACAAAAATACAAAATAAATAGCAAAAACAGAGAGACCTCAGCATAACACTCAAGACAGAAGTGTGGCACTCAAGAAGGAAGCACAACACTCTAAACAAAGCATGTTTGGCTTCCGAAAAAAGTTTGCAAACTGGAACACTTACTTCCAGGTTTGCAGTGTTTGGGTTCCAAGTTGTGTGAGTACCAAGGTGTTTGAGAACCAAGGTACCACTGTATTGTATTTAGATAAAAGTCTTGGTTTGGTTAAAATAAAGGAAAATATATTAAGTTTTGTATTTTCCTCTTTAAACCATAATAAAATTTATTTTAAAAATAAATTAATCAAGGGGCGTTGAAAAAGACAATTCCTCTCAGCATGTCTCGATTTCACTTGAGCAGTAAGTCTGCATGCATTCTGCCAAATGTGGTCTTTCTGAATGCAGGTTTCTTTCTCTGCCATCCCAATTGATGACGTAACACTATCTGATGATGTTTGAGACACAACTGCCATATCTTTATTATAAAGCCAAGTTGGGTGTGCTTTTTCTGGTTTCTCTATTACTGACTGTTATGAAATGTTCACTGCACTCCAATGTGGGGGCTGGAGTGGCCCATGTTTCCATCCACGGTGCCCTGAGATGAGTTGCGCCCGATCGTCACCGTCGCCTGGCGCATCACAAACTCCACATTGCAGCCCTGCAGGCGTGCCAGATCGGGGATCGGGGCCGGCACCAGGCCCTGGGAGGCGAGGTGGGCGCCCCGGAGGCAGCGGCAAGGGTGCGGTGTGCTGCAGCGCCAGCAAGTCCCTCGTGCTGGGCCTGTCCTTGCCCGCGGCTGCAGCCATTTCCCCAGCGCAGTGGGCAGAGGCAGTGGTCAAGGCAGGCAGGCAGGGCCACTGACTACGCACTGCTGGCCTCTGGGGCGGGGAGGTGGGTGGGGAGAGGTCTGCGCGGGTGGGCAGGGTAGAGGCCCGGGCTGCCCAGTTGGTGCGCAGGCAGACGGGCGAGGAGGCCGCAAGCAGAAGACGGGGCACACGGGGTCCAGGGCACGCGGGGTGCCTCTCTCCTCTGCAATCCCCTCCCGATCCCGGGCAGGCCGGATCCAGCCCGTGAACCATAGTTTGAGGACCCCTGATCTAGTCCAACCCCCTGCAATGAAGGAATATGCAACTGTCTCATACGGGGATCGAACCTGCAACCTTAGCTTTATCAGCACCATGCTCTACCCTATGGAGCTATCCAGGCAGATCTTGGCTGTGAAAGCAGGACTACATGAGGTTTTGTCTAATCCAACAAGGCTCTTCTTAGGTAAACGCTGCAGATCAAGGAAAGAACGGCACTCAGAAGGATATTCTGAAAATCCACGAGTTTTCCCTAAAACAGCAATTTATTCCTTTTTTTGGAGACAAGGCATTTTCGTTTTTCTTCAATTCTGTACTGAGGAAAACAACCAGAACCACCGCTATACACTCAAATCCTTAAAAACTTCTTATCACTAGGTTATTGTCCCATTAACATCCATATCCTTCAAAACAGCGTGCTAGACAGGAATATTTAGGGGAAAAGAGGAAGTCTTACTCGCCGTTTCTACTTACCAACAGAATCGAAATTGAGAAAATCTATAGTAGTCGCTAGTGTAGCGTCATCTAGGTGCAGTACGACAGATGCCAAACGTAACATGAAGTGTTTTATTCTGTCTGGGAGAAACAATGCGAAGTAGGAAAGCATGTACAAGGGATAACGAAACCAGGTGAGCAGGGGTGTCATGATCTTGCCTTGTGGGGACGCAGCCATACGTTCCACTGTAGGAAACAGCAGCAGACTGCGGAGAATCTGAAAAGACATGAAAGGGAAAATGGTCAAACAACGTGCGACTCAGAGAAAAGGCAGAATTTGACTAGTTCTCACTCCCACTGATGAATATATTCCTGAATGGAAGCTTATGCTGCAATCCTATATACTCTTACCTGGGAGTAAGCACCATTGAGCTCAATGGGACTTACTTCTGAGTAGACATGCATCTCACTGCGTTGTAAAGTAGCAAAAACATCAAACTCCCTCCCTAGAGTCACTAAGGTTTCTTCCAGTCTTCAGATAACAATGGGTCACAGTGCCTCTTTGAGTTCTTAGAAACAAACCCTTCCCAAACTCGATTCACTTTCCCCTGGGAAAATATGTACCCTCCGCAACCAGAAGTCAAGGTAAAGGTAAAGGGACCCCTGACCGTTAGGTTCGGTCGCGAACGACTCTGGGGTTGCGGCGCTCATCTCGCTTTACTGGCCGAGGGAGCTGACGTTTGTCTGCAGACAGTTTTTCCGGGTCATGTGGCCAGCATGACTAAGCCGTTTCTGGCAAACCAGAGCAGTGCATGGAAACGCCGTTTACCTTCCCGCCAGAGCGGTACCTATTTATCTACTTGCACTTTGCCGTGCTTTCGAAATACTAGGTTGGCAGGAGCTGGGACCAAACAATGGGAGCTCACCCATTGTGAGGATTTGAACTGCTGACCTTCTGATCAGCAAGCCCTAGGCTCTGTGGTTTAGACCACAGTGCCACCCGCATCCCAGAAGTCAAGGTACAAACATGAAAACATCTTTCTTGTCCATGGGGCCGTGAATGCAGATCACCCATTCAAGGGTTTGAAAAAGGGCTTCCCCCCCTATTTTACTGAATTCTCTTTCCTTGATCTAAGCAAAATCCCCTTCTTCAACCTAGTAACTCAAAATTCTGAAATACAGTCAGAAAAAAGAATCATCATAATGTATTTTTCATTTATTGTTATCAGTTTTTTCAATTTGTCCCACAGACTCTTGCCAAATAAGAGCTTCGGAATTCCTAGCTGGTGACAGTCAAAGCTTTGCCCCTGGTAAATCCAGCCAATAGTAGCCTTCCTTACACCTAAGTAAGCACGGCATGCAAATATTGCAGCGAGGGATCGCTTGACCATGTCCATCGGAATGACCTGGGAAAACTGGCAGGCAGGGAAAGGCAATCCATGTTATCAGGGGTCGCTGGCACCAAGGACAGATTGCTCATCAAAGCTTCGGCAGCCACAATCATGCATGTGCACATGGTGTGTTTATGCGTGTCTATTCTCTTCTATAAGAGCAAACTGTTTTGAATATGAAATAGAAAACATATGTGGGTGTGCAGATCATTTCCCTCTCATCGAAGGGAATGCAAAGCCCTGCTTTTGTTACGAGCTGACTGGCAGGTGGTTGAAAACGCTTGGAGACTGATATGAAATTCTTAATGTTTGCAGATTTCTGAATCTGCACGAATGTTTTGTTTTAGAGTGCCTGGGACCACCCAGCCAGATGGGTGGGGGTATAAATAATAACATTATTCTTATTCTTATTGTTATCTTGGACTCTTCGCTTGAGACCACCACCTTGGAGAAATGAACATATTCAGCTTTTGCCCTTTGCTTCCTCTCCTGCCCATTCATCGAATGTTGGGTGGCATGTTCTTCATTGAAAATGTAGTTATAAATAATAATGTCAATTACAGTGGTACCTTGGGTTACATACGCTTCAGGTTACATACACTTCAGGTTACAGACTCCGCTAACCCAGAAATATTACCTCGGGTTAAGAACTTTGCTTCAGGATGAGAACAAAAATCGTGCTCCGACTACTATTTTTTTTGGAGGAGAGCTTATACTTGGAGAGAGCAGGGTGGGGCTCCAGGGTAACAGAAACTCAGTAGGTATTCTGCTTTGTGGTTCAGCTTTCAAGCATAAGGTCTTATAATTAGACAAAATGGGAAATGTGTGTGCTTTAGGAGAGAAATATTTTTGTATCTGGATCTTTAGCCGACTCCTTCCAATCACAGAAACTTAAATAGAAAACTTATTCTTAATTAATAGCTCACAATGCATCTTGAATGACTGAAGTTAAGAAACTCGCGGGCATCCTTTTAACCATGCTCACTGAGAGCCAGTTTGCAGATGATGGAGCTTTTGCACGTCTTCGTCGGGAGGGATTCCATATAAATGGAAGTGGCAAAGTGAGAATTGCCTTTTTATGTGACCTCATAGAAGAGGGCAATGAGGAGGAAAGGCTGATGGGCCTCTTAGGTGTGGGCAGAAAGCTAAGTGATTTAAAACAGATAGGCAAGGAAATGTGTAATCTCTTTTGCTCTTTAACAGTATATGATGTATCGATAAAATAACAGCTGATGGGAAACGGGAATTGAACATAAGGAATGGATTGTGAATTACAGATGCCATTATAGATGCCATGTGAATTATAGATGCCATATCAAGAAGCAAAGGGGGGGAAAACCTGATATATATCTAGGATGAAGAGCGAAAAGTCAACTTTTTTTTTAAAAGCTGCACACGCAAGATGATAAGAAGATAGGAAAGGGAAATTAACATAGAAATAATAAGCAATGATTTAGAACAGATAGGCAAGGGGTTGTATAAGGGTATACAATATTGTTTGGTAAATATACAAGTAAAGGTAAAGGGACCCCTGACCATTAGGTTCAGTCATGGCTGACTCTGGGGTTGTGGCGCTCATCTCGCTTTATTGGCCAAGGGAGCCGCCGTATGGCTTCCGGGTCATGTGGCCAGCAAGACTAAGCCACTTCTGGCAAACCAGAGCAGCCCATGGAAACGCCGTTTACCTTCCCGCCAGAGTGGTACCTATTTAACTACTTGCACTTTGACGTACTTTCGAACTGCTAGGTTGGCAGAGACCGAGCAATGGGAGCTCACCCCATCGCGGGGATTCAAACCGCCGACCTTCTGATCGGCAAGTCCTAGGCTCTGTGGTTTAACCCATAGCGCCACCCGTGTCCCAAAATATACAAGTAGGAATGGATAAATCAACAGTTGATGGATAATGGGAGTTGAACATAAGGAACAGATCGTGAATCAGGGATAAATGTGCAACACTAAGCTGTAATGGGGGAAAACCAGGAACGCGTCTAGGACGAAGAGAGAAAAGTCAACTTCTTGTATTAAATTTGATGTAATATGATGTAGCTTGGCATTGATTCATTAAAAAAACTGGAAAAACCAATAAACATCAATAGGCAAAAGAGGTGCAGGCAGAAAGCAAGGGGATGGAAATGCTCAGCAGGGGACAAAAATGGAGGGTTGAGGAGGGTCAGTTGGGGGGGAGTGAAAAATGTCACTATTTTCATCTGAGTAATGTTGGAGGGTATGAAAGTATAATCCTGAATTGGCAAGGATATAAACGCATGGCTGGGGTACAGGGTCCGTGGGGAGGAATGTAGGTGAGTGAGGTCAGGTGGAAATGAAATGCAAAAAGAAAACTGCCAGGAAAGCGCTTTTGGATCACATTTAACTTTAAATAGGAATGATAAAATTTCTATGAAAATATTAATATTTAATGCGTTCCATTTAATTATGAATGCAGCCGGCAATCTACCAGCATACATAAATTCTTGAATACGACATAGCTCTTTCTTCCCCTCTTCCAAGGATGTTTCAAAGATGTGAAGAGGCAAGTAACACACCATTGCGTGTCGTCTCATGTGTGGCTTTGACGCTAGGCTTTGCTACATGTGTTTTGACTATTCAGTGTACAAATGTTTCACTTAGTAGAGTGGTACCTCGGGTTACATGCGCTTCAGGTTACAGACTCCGCTAACCCAGAAATAGTACCTCAGGTTAAGAACTTTGCTTCAGGATGAGAACAGAAATGGTGCTCCGGCAGCGCGGCAGCAGCGGGAGGCCCCATTAGCTAAAGTGGTGCTTCAGGTTAAGAACAGTTTCAGGTTAAGAACGGACCTCCGGAACGAATTAAGTACTTAACCTGAGGTACCACTGTACAAACGTCTCACTTAGTAATCAATATGTTTTGGACCAAATTTTACACCAATTTACACAAATTACACCAAATTTTAGCTTTCTGACTTTAACAAATGCAGCATAACTATTCTGACCTACAGTGATGCTCAAGTGTCTTTGAAGACATTTCTTTTAATCATAGATGTTATATTTCCATCTCATTGCAGATGAAGTCAGAAGACCACGAGTCTATAAAATATCCTAAGCAGATATTACAAAACTTGATATAGTATTTATTTAATCATGTTCAGAACCCCACACATTCCTTTAATATTTGCATATTTAGGTCAGCCAGTTAACTGCCACTTCTAAACCCCCCCCCCAAAGCTTTAAGAAGATTATAGATTACTCTTTCAAACCATTGGCATATTTTGGGGTGGATCTCAGATCTAGCTCTTCATTTTAACATAAGGAATCTATA